GTGTCCCAGGGCTGTTCAGTATATACAAGGCCTTCCCCCCTTGAGCCTCCACAGAATGGCGTCCTGACCCGTCACAGTGCTCAGCATGTGCTACGCTTAGCCTGTGCACAAGCACTCGGGAATATGTCTGTGGTGACACGCGGGTAAACAGACCCACACACCACCGGGGGCACCTGTGTTCAAAAGCAGAAGCATGTTTGCTCCTTACTCCTGTACTCTGAGAAGTAAGCGCAGTACCTGGCAGTTGGCAGATGCTCAGTAAAGAAGGCATTCCATAGATGAATTGAAGGGTACCCAAAAGAACTCAACCAGAGCTATTTGTGCAAGTAGTGTTTCCAGTGCAGCCCTGAGTTTGGGAAGAAGAGTCTGACTTATAATATGCTGGTGTTTCTGTTAATTCAGAGCATAGCGCTTCTCAGAAGCAAGGGAGTTTGGCCACCGTGGGAAAGACAAAAGCCCACGGGAAGCAAAGACCTCTGCATATGGGATCAAGAGGTCTTCTGGAGGGTGAGGAAACGAGGTCCTCGGTGTCACCTGGGATAGGTCAGGGCACGTTAGGAGAGAAGGCCCCTGCCAAGCCACGGAATGTAGAGCTCTACAGTCATGCTGCACAGTGCTGGCTTTCCCTCTGCAATTCATCAGCCTCTGTTCTCGGAAGAGCACACAAAAGGAGCAGAAGAGCAGGCACAGTGGTTGCCAGTAAGACACTCACTGTCTCCTGGAAGAGTCAGGTTCAATGTACAGAAGGACCCCAAGGGGTCCCAGGACGGCGAGGGCTGCAGAAGGAACGGCAGCATCACTGCCTCGGCGTGTGCTGCCACCTCTGCTTTCTATTATCTGTGGCCTTCCTTAGAAGCCTTTCTACTCAGTGCGAAAATCACCAACTCTCCCAGGACTGGTTTCTCCATCTCTTATGATCCAAGGGCTGCAGTTTGGTCGTAGGGACTGGCACTTCATGGAGTTCTGGGTACCTGCACACTGGCACAGGCCAGGGCAGGAGAGGCACCAACTGTCCCCATCCTCCAGGCACCAGTACACTGGACGTCCCCTCCCAGACGCGGCCCGTGGAGATCTCAGAAGGATGTGTGTGGGCTGGAGGGCCCTGCAGCGCTCCTGCCTCGCACCTCATTCCTTGGTGGCTTTAGTTATCTCAGAAGGGGGCAGGGGCGGCTGCCTTCATGGAGTTCGAGCACTGGAAGCGTGGCAGAAAGCGCCCTGGAGCAGTGAGGACCACTGGCTTAGCGGGACCTATTTCTCACCACCCTTTGTGAGGAGAGGAGGGCCGTGCCATCGCTACTTGGCCTTTGTGTCTCGCTCCTGGGCTTCTATGCAAACCATATACATGCAGGTGTGTCTTGTTTGTGCCACCAACATCACAGTCGTGCTGGTAACACACAAGCCCCCCTTGCTTCTGTTAGTTTCCTAAATAAAACTTATGTGGTTTACCTAATATTCCTTCTCTTCATGGCTGAGAGGAAGTCCTTCCTGGCGACCTGATTGTCCCTGAAGGCATTCTACTTCTGTGCTTCTTCCGACTTCCAAAGCCAAAATACAGGCAGCGCCTTTCACCAGACCTATTCTTCATGCGAGTGCATGCTTCCAGCTGGCTCGTGGTCCTCAGAGCCAAGTGTCTGTGGGCTACAGCAAGCGGCACCGGCGCTTCGGGTACACTGCACCCAAGCTGCGCCCACCCTGTCCGTGCAGAAGTCAGACGAGTGTAATTGTCCATGTCTTTGACTCATCACACTTTTCTCGTGTGATTTCCACTTCCTCCCTTGCTAGCTGCCTTTCTAGATAATAAGAATCATTCCTTTGCTCTGGAGCCACATTTTAACTTATCAGAGGCTTAGCAAACAGCACATGTGTGCACGTACTCCTAGGACGAGGGGCCCAAGACATCAGACTGCTGGCAAAGATGGCAGAACAGCGCCTCTCCTGTGACGCAGAGACCCCTGCTTCATCTAGACAGAAGCAACTAACACTACGCAAAAGTTAGGATGGAAATAGGAGGAAATAGGCACTCTAGTTGTATAATCCATACTGCAGATGTTTTAAGAGGGCCTAGATGCTACTTTTTAAAGTTACTACAATTATCAGGAGAATATAGTCTATAAAATCTCTCAAAGGCTGATTTTTGTTTGGCAAGTTCTGGCTCAAGCTTTCCAAATTAATTATGTAAAAAAGAGCAGATTTCATAATACCACCACAGAACATGATAAAATTGCTAACAGATACATTCCCTAATGCCACATTTCCATTAATATTAAAATACCCCAGCGTGGCAGTTGATAATACAGTATTAGATAAAGAATAAGGGTAGATGCCAGATGAAGAAAAGATGCTACACGGGCACACACCACCGAGAGTGCACTCTGAACCTACTCTGGCATTTTCTGTCCCAAACAATGACTGTACAGGTTGCAGATATTTAATATGGTTTTTCAAATACGGCTTAAAGGCTGAATGTTCCTGTAAATGTAAATGTAAAAGAAATAACTGATTGTGTGGAGCTAGCAAGCATCCTGCTCTGCTCCCCAGGTTGAACTCTGAATCAAAGCCACCACTACCACCCCGCTACGAGGCAGAGCACCAGGCCGGCTGCCCCGTGGTTGGGGCGCTACCACCCGAGGGCCACGCAGCAGGGCCCAGAGCTTGCCCATCCTCCGCTTCCTCTCTCTTCACTTTCACTGGAAGAGTTCAGGATCCTCAGCCAGGGAGAAAAGTGAGAGGTGCTGTGTCTGGGACCTCTTGGAGGGATTGGTGGCAGGCATGGGCCCCAAACCACACTCTAAAAACGGCCTCTGCCTTGTGGAGACACAACACAGACCAGCTTTTTATGTGGGACTGACTTAGAGGACACAGAACAGAGGAAAAGACAACTGCAGCCAAACAAAACAAAACAAAACGAGAAAGGAGAGAAGCTCAGGGGCTGTTTGGGATGCCCTAGTGAAGTAGCTTAGGCTGGGGGCTCATGAATAGCAGAAAGTTCCCTGGAGGCCCCAGCCCAGGTACGAGGCATCCTGCAGGGGCAGCAGCAGGGCAGTGAGAACCATGGGCCCCCGGCTGTGCCAGCCACACAGACCAGGGCAGAGGATAGGAGAGTCCCTCCACAGGTGGGCAGGACAGGACAGGACAGGACAGGAGAGTCCCTCCACAGGCGGGCAGGACAGGACAGGACAGGACAGGACAGGAGAGTCCCTCCACAGGCGGGCAGGACAGGACAGGACAGGACAGGAGAGTCCCTCCACAGGTGGGCAGGACAGGACAGGAGAGTCCTTCCACAGATGGACAGGACAGGACAGGAGA